CTTCCTATAGCTGAGACAAAAATACTCAAGACAATCGGCTTACAATAAAGACAGTTTGATTTGGGCTTCACCATTTCAGGGGTGTCAATCTATGGTCACTGGCCTCCATTGTTCTGAGGACTATGGACTTCGGGGATTGCAAAACTACTTGCACCATAGCAGCTGGGAGGCAGAGGGAGAGCCTGAGGTCTCCATGTGCCCAATAAGAGCACAGCCTTACTAACTTAATTTTGTTCTACTGTGTTCTGTTTCTGAAAGGTTCTGCCACCTCCCAATAATTAGCAAGGACTAAATCCTGGACCACTCAGAGCAGTGCTGCTGGCACTGCACAAAGAACCAAATAGGTTGTTAATTTTTTTCTGTAGGTGGATTGTATCTTTCCCAAACAATTCCACCAACTGATTATATTATTTCTACTCTGCAAATGCATATACAAGGACACATACATATGAATGATATTTCCTTTTTTCTTATAAATTCAAATTAGAGAATGCTCTTCACATTACATGACTTTAATTGGTATGTTGTTGAAAAATTCTGTATCAATGTATAAAATGCAATTTAGTCTTCAAATACTTGAATTTTTTAAAGATTTATTTATTCTAAATCTGGCAATGGTGGCTCACACCTTTAACCTCTGCACTTAGGAGGCAGAGAGAGGCAGGTCTCTGAGTTTAAGAGCAGTCTGGTTGACAGAGCTAGTTCCAGGACAATCAGGGCTACACAAAGAAACCCTGTCTCAAAAAACAACCAACCAAGCACCACCACCACCACTACCACCACCAGCAGCAGCAGCAGCAGCAGCAGCAACAAAAACTAACATTCACATGTCTTTGAAAATGTACAGTCCTCGTATTTGGGGGGTCTGGGTTACCTTAATCATGCTGATTTTTTCTAGCTATGGAAAATCTTATAATTTCATTTTTAACAGCTGAGTAATATCCCATTGTGTTAATGTACCCTATTTACATTATCTATTCATCTGTTGATGGACATTTAGGCTGTTTTTAATTTCTGGCTATTATAAATAGGGAAGCAAAGCCAGGTGATGGTGGCATATACCTTTAATGGTAACATTTGGGAGGCAGAGAAATCCTGTCTCAAAAAGGAATAAATAACCACAAGAAAAAGAATAGAGCATCAGTGAACTGGGATGTGCAGTATCAGAAACTGGATGGGGAACTTTCAGGTACCCAAGACTGGCATGGCTGGATCTTGAAGTAGATTTCTTCCCAGCTTCCTCAAGAACTGCTTTCTATAGTGGCTCTACAAGTTTGCACTTCCACCAGCAGTGGATAAGTGTTCCCCTTGCTCCACATTCTGGCCACTGGGAACTATCACTTGTTTTCTTGATCTTAGCCATTATGACTGATGTTAGATGGAATCTCAAAGTAATTTTTATATACATTTTCTTGATGGCTAAGGAAGCTGAACATCTCAGTAAGAGGAAACAGTTCAGATTCCTGTTGAGAATTCTCTATTTAGACCTGAAACCTGTTTTGCAATTGGTTATTTGGTTTGTTGATGTCCAGGTTTTTTGGTTTGTTTGGGTTTTGTTTGTTTGTTTGTTTAGTTTAGTTTAGTTTTGCTTTGTTTTTGTTTTGTTTTTTTAAATCAAATTGTAATTTTTTTTACTTATTCACACAGGGGTTATAAACACAAAAAGGCAGGACGTGGGGAAGGGGATGACACCGGAGCATGGGTGTTCAGGGGGAGTACAGATATCTTTCAGAACAGGGTATCGGCTGAGTGAAGGTTCAGGGGACAGGTCACTATGACTCTGCCTATGATTCACTTGTCCTTATATAAGTACTATCTGCCAAGGCTACCTATTTACAAGGTCTATGACTACTCAGGCTGGTAAATTTCCTCATAAGCTGCCTGTTTACAATAGCTTATAGCCATCCGTTTCAATGTTTTTCCACAGAGACCCAAGACTTTGTGTTAGTATACAAGTATGACAGGCCTATTGCTGATTTTAGGCCTATGGCTAATTTTAGGCCTTCAGTGTATAAGCAGGACTGCCCCTGACATCTCCTCCCTTCTCTAAGTATAGAAGGGCTGTGGCGATTCTAATCTTGTGAAGGTGAGGATAGTGGCCTGACATCCAGTAATTAAAGGGGACCTTGTAATGGCTCCAGTCCCCCTGTTGTTGTCCAGTGAGGCATGAGGGCCATACTCATCCTGATGCCTTTTTCCTGGAGAGGGGATACTTTTGACATCAACCCCTATGCAGTCAGGATTGTCCTTCAGGAAACCCAGAGAGATATTTTTAACTTTTATTTATATTCCCTTTGCCTCTGAAGCCTAAGCAAGAATTCAGATTGCCAGTCAGAGTGGGTTCTAGGTGGCCCCTCTCTGTTTGGTCTAGGGGCAGAAGTCCCCTCTTTTAGGTTGGGTGGAGATGGGTTTTGGGAACACCCTGGATAGAGTAACAGCCTCATCTTGAGTCTCGTGGTCCTCCATAGCTAACTTATGATAATGTATCTGAGTAGGTTTTGCTACCAAATTATCTATCTGTTGTTTCACAAAGTTAGTCAGCCTATTTAAGGCCCAGGGACGAAAAGAAATAAGCAAAAATAACCCAATTAATGGTCCCAAGATGGGAGGAAGTAGGGTTGACAACCATGGAGAGGTTGAAAACCAATTCTTGTACCAGCTCTCATCTTTCTCTTTCTCCTCTCTGTCTTTTCTCAGGGCCTTCTCTGACCTTTTTCACGCTCTCTTTAACCATCCCTGTCTTGTCTATGTAAAAGCAACATTCTTCTTTAAGGGTTGTACACAGTCAAGAGCTGTACACAGTCTTTTCTATTGTAAAAGAATAAATCAAGTCCAATATAGTCCTTTGCAATTCAGACAGCGAAATGAGGGATTTCTTCAGATTAGTGATGTCATTCTCTAGCTGTTTGATGTTCTTGTCAATGGCCCATCTGAGTAGTATAAATTTGGAGCCCAGCATCTGGATTAGAACTTTTAACAGCAGACATCACGGGTGATTCACTTTTACTTGAGACACTGCCCGTGTTAGAGCTCCTAGGAGGCCCTCTTCCTCTGGGTTTTGTGAGGTTGGGTACAGAGCTGTCACCCGGGATCTGCTCTGTGCTCAGGCCCAGACCGGAAGTTCCTGTTTTTCGTTTTTAAGTACTTTATATATTTTATACACTAACGCTCTATTGGACGTTTAATTGTTAAAGGTTTTGTTCCATTCTGTAGACTTCTGCTTTGTGTGAATGATTTTGTTCTTTGTCATACAGGATCTTTTCAGTTTCATGAGGTCCCTTTATTAATTGTTAATCTTAGCTAGAAGGTAGTGGCACACCCTTTTAATCCAAGCACTTGGGAGACAAAGGCAGGCAGATTTCTGAGCTCAATGCCAGCCTGGGCTACAGAGAGAGTTTTTTCATGACAGCTAGGGCAGCACAGAGAAACCCTGTCTCAAAAAACAAACAAAAAGTTCAGTGGTCTTAGTACGTGTGCTATTGGTGTTCTGTTCAGAGGGTTGTTTCCTGTGTCAATGTGTTCAAGATTATTTCCTACTATCTTTTCTATTAGATTCAGTGTATGTGGCCCTATGTTGTGGTCCTTCGTTAATTTGGAGTTGAGTTTTATACAGGATGACAAATATGGGTCTATTTGCATTCTTTCACTACATGCAACCAGTTTGACCAGCACCATTTGTTGAAGATGGTGCCTTTTTCCCCCAGTATGGCTTCTTTGTCAAAAAGCAGGTATCTATATAAGTGTGGACTTATGTCTGGGTCTTGGATTCAATTCCATTGATCAACATATCTATTTGTATGCTAATGCCACGCTGTTTTTTAAAATTACTATAGCTCTGTAGTACAATTTGAGATCAGGGATGGTGATACCTCCAGCTGTTCTTTTATTGTTCAGGATGGTTTTAAATATCTGTGTGTGTGTGTGTGTCCATGTGAAGCTGAAAATTGTCCTTTTGATTTTGTTGAAGAATTGTGTTAGGATTTTGATGGAGATTTCATTAAACCTATAGATTGGTTTAGCAGGGTTGCCATTTTGCTGTATAATCCCACTCACCTGTGGGCATGAGAGATTTTTCCACCTTGGATATCTTCTATAATGTCTTAAAATTTTTATCATACAAGACTCTCAATTACTTGGTTTGAGTTATCCCAAGATATTTTTTGATGCTATTGTGAAAGGTGTTATTTCCCTGATTTCTTTCTCAGCCCATTTGTCATTTGTATATAGGAGTACTACTGATTTTAGTTTCATAACCTGTGACTTGCTGAAAGTATTTATCAACTATATGAGTTTCTTTGTGGAATTTTTAGGGTCACTTCATACTATCATATCATCTGACTTCTTCCTTTTCAATTTGTATCCCTTCAATCTCCTTCAGTTATCTTGTTACTCTAGCTAAGACTTCAAGTACTATATTGAATAGCTATGGCCAGAGTGGACAGCCTTGTATTGTTCCTGATTTCAGTAGAAATGCTTTTTAGTTTTTCTGTTTAGGATTCTGTTGTTATCTGTGGGTCTTCTATAGACTGTCTTTATTATGTTGAATTATGTCCCTTGTATTTCTAGTCTCTCCAGAACTTTTATCATGAAGCAGTGTTGGATTTTGGTAAAGACTTTTTCTGCATCTAGTGAAATGATCAAATGGTTTTTGTCTTTCTGTTTGTTTATATGGTGGATTACATTTAATTGATTTATGTCTGTGCAACAATTCCTACATTTCTAGGATGAAGTCTACTTGATCATGGTATATATGTTGTTGGATTCCGTTTGCACATATTTTCTTGAGAATGTTTGCATCTGTGTTGTATGGGATATTGTTCTATAATACTCTTTCTTTGTTGAGTCTTTATGTGAATTTGCTATCAGAGTAATTGTGGTCACATAAGAAGAATTAGGCAGTGTTTCTTTTGCTTCTATTTTGCAGAAGAGATTGAGGAGAACTGGTATTAATTCTTCTTTGAAAGTTTGGTAGAGGGAAAAAGGTCCCACAGAGCTCAGCAGCCAAGATGTGTGACTTCACCCAGGACCAGACCGCAGGATTCAAGGAGGCTTTCCAGCTGTTTGACAGAACAGACGACCACAAGACCCTGTACAGCCAGTGTGGGGATGTGATGCAGGCCCTGGGCCAGGACCCTACCAACGCTGAGGTGCTCAAGGTCCTGGGGAACCCCAAGAGTGATGAGATGATTGTAAAGGTGCTGGACTTTGAGCACTTCCTGCCTATGCTGCAGACCGTGGCCAAGAACAAGGACCAGGGAACCTACGAGGATTATGTTGAAGGCCTCTGTGTGTTCGACAAGGAAGGGAATGGCACCGTCATGGGTGCTGAAATCCGTCATGTCCTAGTCACACTGGGTGAGAAGATGACAGAGGAGGAAGTAGAGATGCTGGTGGCGGGGCACGAGGACAGCAATGGTTGCATCAACTATGAAGAGCTTGTCCGGATGGTGCTAAATGGTTGAGGACATTTCTGTATCCCGATGTGACCCGCGCAATCGTCTCACCAGCAAGAACGCACGTGGACACCAGGATCCTTCTGCAGCAAGCGTTTACTGTGATGAAAGGAGGAAGACCCCGGGCCCTGAAAAGGCACTGCTTATATACCCCTGGAGCGGCGTGTTCATATCTGATTGGCTGCTTGCTCAGGAACGCATATTACGCCCCGGGATGGGCTGTGACTTGGTGCTTTTTTACCATAGCACATGCGCGGTTTACTTGTTTACTTGGAGGAGCACCGGATGCCAGCGCCATCTTGTAATGGCGAATGCTGTCACCACAAGCCGCGGCTTTCCACATCTCCCCCTTTTTGTTTTATTAAGATGGAACTGTCTTTGGCCTATCTAGCGTGGTATCAATCATGACTCAAACTCAAGTCCAATCAAGCAAATTCTATCTTGGGGGAATAAGCGATCAAGGACTGATAGTTTAAGACAGTCTCTCTTACCCTACCAGGTGTAATGGAAACAAGTTTTCTGGGTGTAAGGGCTAGGGGAAACAGAGAGATGTAAACACCCATCTTTGTGTAATGGAGCCATCATTCAGGGGTGTAAGGGCTGTTTGTCTCAAATTCAGGTACCACAGCTATATAGACAAGGACCAGCCAGGCCAAGACTCTTCACCGACCTAGTGTAATGGGCAAATCTCTTGGGGTGTAACGGCTGAGGAATCTGTCTACTGGTTATTTCTTTAACATGGATAACCAAATTTCAGGAGATGAACCTTGTTCTAGGGCTGTAAGTGTTTGGGTAATAACGACCTTGTCACGTTTTTGTTGAGTTCTGAGCTTGTAAACCAACCAAAGCATGAACATTAATCTGTAACATAGGGCTGTACCAAACAGGCCTATTCTCACCTATTCTTTAAAGAAAGAGAAAGTTGAAGAGATCCAGGAGGAGAGTCTCTCAGTCAGGGACAGATCTATGTGTGTCGAGTTGATGGCCACCACAGTCGTTTTCAATTTTTTGAGTGTCTCATCGAAGTTTTTTGACCAATTTTTTGTAAGATATTGAGACAATTTCCTGGGCAGATTAGTTGTGTTATGTCTGACCGGTATGGGTTTTGGAAAGGCAGATAATATGGCCTATCGTTGTTCTCCCAATATACTAGGAACCTGTATCCCTTGGATCAGCACGAGGGCTGTCATCAGAGTTTGGAGGGTCTGTCTGGGTGTCATCTTCTAATATCGCGAGTCGTCAGATCAGTCGCTCTGGTAGCCAAAATGGGTTGTCTTCTTCCTGTGGAAAAACACAAACCGTTTTTCTGGATCTTATTAAAATAGGATCTGGGCCTTTCTATTGTCTGGTCAAGACATCTTTCTATTTGACCATCTCTTTTGTCCTGTCAGGCTCTAAACAGTGACGGTCAGCTGCCGTGTGGCCTTGACTGTCCAGATTTTAAAAATTAAGGGTAAAAAGTGTTATAGAAATGGTGACTCATGGCACTGAGGGTAGAGCTTCCTCGACTCCCCCTTTTTGTTTTATTAGATAAGACTTAAGAGTGTGATGAGCCCGTTCTATAATGTCTTGTCTTTGAGGGTTATAAGGGAGACCTGTCAGATGGGTCACCTCTATTTGGCGACAAAATTGTCTAAACTTTTGAGAAGTGTAAGTTGATCTATTATTAGTCTTGAGAATTTTAGGCTTCTCTCAGGCACTCTATGTCTCAAGGCAATGTTGGATAACATGGGCCATCTTTTCTCTGGACAGTGGAGAAGCAAATAAAATTTTGAAACAAGTATCAATGGAAACATGTAAATATTGTAATTTGTCAAAGGATGGGATGTGAGTAACATCTATTTGTCAAATCTGTAGTGGCCGAATTTTTCGTGGATTAATTTTTATATGAGGCACTGGTAAAAATTGACAGTAATTTTGACATTGAGTAACTATATCTCTAGCTTTTTTTCTAGTTATATCAAATCGATGACGCAAAGTCTCTGTTGTTGTGGAAAGCCGTGGCTTGTGCTGACAGCATTCGCCATTACAAGATGGCGCTGGCATCCGGTGCTCCTCCAAGTAAACAAGTAAACCGCGCATGTGCTATGGTAAAAAAGCACCAAGTCACAGCCCATCCCGGGGCGTTTTGGCGGGTAACGAGTAAGCAGCCAATCAGAAATGAACACGCCGCTCCAAGGGTATATAAGCAGTGCCTTTCCGGTGGCTGGGGTCTTTCTCCTTTCATTAACAATAAACGTTTGCTTCGGAAGGATCCTGGTGTCCGAGTGCGTCTTGCGGGCAAGACAATTACACGCGGGTCACATGTTGTCACATGAAATTTTTTATGAAAATCTTTGGCCAAATCTAATTTTGAGGATAGGGAGATAGGAACCAACTTTGTGGCTTGATCTGCTAGGTCATTCTCATGAGACATTGGACCTGGTAGACCTGAGTGAGCCCTAATATGTGTAATAAAAACAGGGAATCTCTTATTAACTAAGGCAAATTGAATCTTTTGAAAATTTTCTACAAGTCTACTAGATGGTCTAATTAGCTCAGTCACTTCTAAGACTTTAACTGTATTTATTACATAAAAGGAATCTGAAACAATATTTAAAGGGCCTGGAAAGGTTTCAAGAACCTCTAATATTACCAAGCATTTCACAACTTGAGGTGAGGTCTCATGGTATTGTTTGGCAGTGACTTTATTATCAACTATATAGGCACCCACACTTGTTTTTGACCCATCTGTGTAAACAACCACTCTATCCGGGAGCGGCTTCTGAGATAAGACATGTGGAAATATAATAGCTTGAGTTAAGGCAAACTGTAGAATGGGATGTTTAGGATAATAGTGATTATCTATTTGATCATTAAAGGAGGTGACCAATATGGCCCAAACATCAGAGGTAGCAGTTAATATTTGAACCTGATGTGTAGTATATGGCACTATTAAAACTTTAGGCTCTCTTCTAAAATGGGTAATAGCTGTTTTTAATCCCCGAAAGGCAAGTTGAGCAACTGTATCTGGATACCATTCAATAATCTTTGTAGGAGATGTATTAGGATGGATCTATAATAAGGGCCCATCTTGTCATAACATAGTAGTTGGTAAATGTCTGGTTTTAAAGACACACAAATTAAAAGTTTTGGTCTCATCAATGTGTTTTAGCTCGGCCTCTTGTAAGGCATCTTTTATCATTTGTAGGGCACGGCTTGTAGCCGGTGTTAGTGCTCTTGGCAAGGAAATATGAGAGTCTCTTTTTAAAATGTCAAACAAAGGTTTCAATTCAGCAGAGGGAATTTTCAAAAATGGTCTTAACCAATTTATATCACTTAATAATTTTTGAAAATCATTTAAGGTATGTAAATGATCTCTGTGAATTTTTAATTTTTGAGGAACTATTTTCTCAGGGTAAATAACTGTCTCTAAAAAGGAACCAATTTCTGAAATTTGAACCTTCTCTGTGGCAATATGCAGACCCTGCTGTCCTAATGTAGCAATTAATAAAGGGTATGAGTTCTGTAAAATGGTCAATTTTTTTATGGTAGATAAGAATATCATCTATAAAATGAATCAAGAGTAGGGAAGGAAATTGTTTCTTAACGGGTTCAAGGGCCATTTGTATATATAGTTGACACATAGTAGGACTATTGGCTATGTCTTGAGGCAAAACTTTCTAATGATATCTCTTGTCTGGTTCAATGTGATTAACAGCAGGTAAGGTGAATGTAAATCTTTGTCTATCTTGTGCGTGTAGGGGAATGGAGAAAAAACAATCTTTAATGTCTATAATTATTATTTTCTACTGTTTAGGTAAAGCAGAGAGCAGAGGTAGGCCTCGTTGTACTGAGCCAAACAGCTGCATCTGTGCATTAATGGCCCTTAGATCATGGAGAAGTCTCTATTTTTTTAATTTCTTTTTTATAACAAAAATAGGGGTATTCTAAGGGGAAGTAGAAGGTTTTAAATGGTCATTTTTAACTTGTTCTTCAATTAATTTAGTAGAGGCCTCTAATTTTTCAGAGGATAAGGGCCATTGAGGAACCCACATGGCTTTCTCTGTAAGCCAGGGTATGGGCATAGTGTCCTCAATGGCAACTAGGGAAAACCCAGACCTTGTCTTCTTGTATTACTTTCTTGTGAAATTGGGTTTAACCTTCTTTGTTCTTTTCTGTCAAGGCCTTTTCTTTCTTTGTATCTCATCTTTTTCATAATATCAATAGTTTGTTGAGAGTACTCATTAGTTAATGTCTCAAGTCTTGTAAAATGTCTCTTCTCTAGAGGCTAACAGGGAGAGGAAGCACATAAGGTATAAAGTTTCTTGTCTGACCCTCTGGTGTCTGTCAAGTCGAGGAGCGTGAACTGACTGCAGGGCTGGCCTCATATCCCAACCCTTGTAAGGAGTGGGATGATTGTGTAACAGGCCACGCCTTAGGCCATCAGTTGGAGGAAATAATACTTTTATCAGTTCTTGTGTCTAAAATTTTTGTAAAACTCTTTTCTTTTATTGTTAATTGTAAAGTGGGTCTAGTTTTGAGATCTATTACCAAATGAGCAAAGTCAGTTCTTGAAGAACCAAACCCATTGGTGCCTCTAGGCACCCCGGTTGATGGGAAACAATCATGTAAACTTGGGAGAATAACCAATTGAGTAATCTTATCTCCAGGGGAAATAGAAAATATGTCTTGTGGACAAGAACAGAGAACCTGAAGTTCTCCTGTATAATCTTGGTCTATCACTCTAGAGTGAACCACGAGTCCTTTCAATGTTAGGGAGGAGTGGCCTAGAATAAGGCCGACACTTCCCTCAGGCAGGGGACCTTTAAAATCAACTGAGATAGGTTGTGTGTCCTCATGTGGCATTAGTAAGAATTGGGAGGTGGAACTGAGATTTAACCCTGTGGAGTCTCTTGTAGCTCTGTAGCTAGAGGTGTCTCTCTGTTGTATGTTGGTATCTCATATTTCTTGGGGCCCTGGGATCTGGGGCCCGGAAACCCGTTTTTTGGAGTACCTTCTTCTCTTCC